ATATCAAGAAAGAGATATTGCTTTGTCAACAAAGCTTTACCCGTGAAAATGGTAGCCATCAATTCTAATTACCATCCATGCAAATGGCATCAACTTGTTTTCAAATAGAAAGGACCTAACATAATTTGGTTTAATTTGCACAACATTCTCTTCAAAACACCCCAACTCCTTAAGAAGACATGGATGCTCACTCCAAAAGTTTCTACCAGCTATATTCTCCGACTGAACTATCCTCAGCTTTCTCCGCAGTATTTTGACAGGAGTGCCATCCTCATGATATTTAACAATATTTTGCACTTGATGAAGAAAAAAGGAAATTAGAATTCATACGCAAGGCAGTGTAATACTTGTCTTCCTTGCTTTCTTGTCCACCCAACTAATTCACTTTGGAAAGTCAATCTAAAATTGCCTCATTTTCCCAAGTTGACCCTCAGTGAATTGCAGATTCATTTGTATTCCTCTCATGTTTGAATTAAAAAATAGCAAAATTTATGACCGTTAAATTGTGAGCACAAAAATATGCATTTAATAGTTTGTTATGTCATGATTTAATCAATACAATTAAATTATTATTTTGAATGGTTACTCATGGTAACTGTAATGAAGTTGAAAGCATTATAATATAAACAGTTCAAAGTGTTTATGGGGTGTAGTTTGTTATGTTATTTTTGTTTGAAATTAATTCCGTTATTGCTGTAATTAGTCAATATAGTTGTCCATTTTATAGTGCAACTCCTGGTTATGATATTGTTTAGTATATACATTTAATATTGTATTATAGTATATTTATTAACAGTTTGTAAATAATTAGACTTAATCAATATAATTGAAATATTAACAGTTCAAAGTGTTCTGGGGATAGAGTTTGTTATACTATTTTTATTTAGAGGCTTAGATAAGCCTCTCGAACTGAAAGATATCCTGCAAAACATAAAAGCCAACTTGGAGAAACTGTCCGCTGCTAGAGAGAAGAACAGAGAAATGATGAATGGCTTATTAGAAATAACAGACTCAATCATGGATATAATCTCGAATCTGAATCAATGCCGATCTCTGATAATTGCGAAAGAAATAGCACTTGATATCCATGATGGAATAATCTGACATGATCTATGTACACATTATTATTATGAATAAAAGATATAGATAATTCGAATTATATTGCTTTTTATGATTATAATAACAACACATACTAATATAAATACTTTTAAATCGATAGTTAACATCATATAATAAATATTAAATATTCTAATTAAAAAACTAAATACCTAAAATAGAAGTAATAGACATGCTTATAATTTTTTATCAATGATTGTAATAATATTGAATCAATTGTATATTAACAACGAATTCACCTTCAAATATTTATTTTATTTCACACATATATCATGAACAAATGGAAGACGAAAGACCAACTATTGTCAATCCGAAATCCAAACTAACAGAAACATACAGTAAATAACATCAACTGATTTCTCTTATATTCCTTTTACATATCTACTTTTGTACATTCATTGCTTGGTGTTTTGCAGTTCAAATAGTAGCATTAGATGATTCGCCTGGACTAGAAGATATTCTACTAAACCTTAGAAATTTGTAAATTTATCTTCCCAAAAAAGTTTTTGATATGGATGAACCGATCCAAATACCGCCATCCTTCAATTGTATTCACCTTTCATAATATCGTTCAACCTTTCAGTTATCATAACTAATCTCTCCAAACGACACAAATATTTGTTCATATTCTACTTTTTGCATTCAATTGTTTCTATATAAGCATAACAAGATACCATCTGAAAAATCGCAAAACCACAAATATTGTTCTACTTTTTAAATTTTTATTCGCAAATGGCCAAAGAATCAAGAGCAACCACAAACAGTAATGAACATCAAACAATATCTTTATACATACTGTCAGATATCAATTCTAATATCTGTATGTTATTTACAGATGCAGAAACGTCATCAAACATACAGAATGAGATCAAAGAGATTCTCAGAAATGTTAACACTAGCTTATACAATATTGACGAGGCTAGCGAAAAGATAAGAGATATTATCCATGATTTGTTAGAAATAATGAGTTCAACCATGGGAATCATCTCTGATTTAACACAATGTGAATTAGTGATTACTGGTAAGGAAGTTCATTGCCAAAAACAGCAGCAAAAAAATAGAAAACAACTATCTACACAGTGTTTTTTTTTTTTTTTTTTTTTTTTCTATTATCAATGGAATGAATAATATAAAAATGTATTTACATTTACAAACGTCATAAAAAAAATAACTCACCATTAATATATTACATACAACTATTCAATATACTGATTCTGACGATATGTATTTCAATTTTTTAATTTGAGATCTTTCACATTCCTTTTTTAATTTGATAAATTACTAATTATTCACGTGTGTGTTATTGATTTCCACGAATATTAAGAGATTGCTATAATAAGGATTATTCACATTCATTCAATAAATGTATTCAATACAGATCTTGCACATTCCTCTTTTAATTTGAGATCTTTCACATTCCTCTTTTAATTTGATAAATTACTAATGATTCACGTGTGTGTTATTGATTTCCATGAATATTAGGAGATTGCTATAATAGGGATTATTCACATGCAGTCAATTAATGTATTCAATACAGATCTTTCACATTCCTCTTTTAATTTGAAAAATTACTAATGTCTGTTCACAATCGTTCATACGAAACGTCATTCAGTGACATCTAAAGCTATATAAGAATAGACAATTCAACAATCCATACACCTTCAAATATTTATTTCATTTCACACATATATCATTAACAAATGGAAGGCGAAAGACCAACTATTGTTAATCCAAAATCCAATCAAACAGAAGCGTGCGTTAAATAGCATCAACTGATTACTCTTATATTCCTTCCACATATCTACTTTTACATATCCATTGTTTAATTTTTAGCAGTTCAAGCAACAACATCAGATATAGTTCTATTTTTTTCCTTGAGGAATACCAAGTTCCTTTTCTTTGGCAATAATCAGGGATTCGTAAATCGAATATTACATGCATGGTTGAGCCTGTTATTTCTAACAAAGCATTCATAATATCTCTGTTCATCACTCTGGCAGTGTTGAGTTTGTCTAGCATGGCTTTAAGGTTTTGTAGAATACCTTCCAGTTCAGGCGGACCATCTGATGTTGAAACAATTTCTCTCGCCATTACAATTGTTATTACAGTCTTCAATTTATAACTAAACTTTATGTATTTTTCTTATGAATAGAAGATAACAACTCTCTCATTATACTAGAAGATACTATACTTTAATCAAACCGAAAACTTTCCAAAGAAAAATTCTTTAAACATAAAAAACCCAATAAAAAAAAATAATAACAAAATATTCTATTATAATTAATATTTGACATTTTTTTGTGAAACAATAATCGTTTACGATTTCTTAAAATATAAAAATGAAAATAATAAAATGAAAATAATTTAATAAATAAACCCGCGCAATGCGCGGGCGTGCCATCTAGTTTATATTTAATTAACAAAACACTCCTAAATATATCACAAGCAAACCAGCCCCACCAAATGGCTATATTTTTCCAACTCAACGCTCCTCAACTCAACACAAAAAAGGCATTTAATCAACAAACCATCATAATTCATTCAAAATAATAAAAAACAAAACGCTCACAAATATATCACAGGCAAACCAACCCCACCAAATGGCTGGATTTTTCCAACTTAACACAAAAAACCACAGAGTCACGTTTAGGTTCAACAGTACTCACTAGAGTGTAAACTTGTCAATCAACAGATTCAACACGGAGTTAAATCCTCCAATTGATAACTTGCATATCAAATCAAAATTTTCCTCGGCAAATTAATAGCATATTCTGAATAATAAGAAAAAAAAAATAACAGAAAAAACAACTCTACAATCCGAGCATGCAATATAATTATCAGCAAACAGCAATGGTCATTCACTCTCTCACACGTTCACATTTACACCACCAATCAACACTAATAAGTAAATGTGAGCCACATTCACCGACAATCTAACAAAGGATCAAATTCTATGCATTGTAAATCTTCTATTCTGATTATGTATCTAAAATTTGGAGTCCATATGGGAGAAAACATGAATAAAAAAAAGGAATAACTCATTCAAATTCAACATCATAAACCCTTAGAACTCCAACACTATCAACCAAAAGATTAAGCTCAATGTGTAGTTGACATTTTAGTTTCTAACATTATCACAAGAGAATAAATAATTAACCAGTTTCTGCAAACAAGAAATAGAAAATGGAGGTATACTTGAGAGCCCAAATGAACGGCGCTTTAAAGAGGATCCTGGGAACGTGATAGAGATGGCTGTGTGAAGAAAAAAATGGTAACTAGAGAGATGGCTAGGTGAAGGAGAAATGGCAACTGGAAAAATGGCCAAATGAGCATGAGATGGTGAGAGAGATGCCGAGATGGCTGCGTAAGAGTATGAGAGAGATCAGAGATGGCATGAAAAACTTCAAATTGAGAGAAGAGAAGGAGAAATGGCGTGATTTAGGAGAGATTCACTGATTCAGAGAAGAGATTGAGAGAAATGTGGCGTCGGTGTCTCTATGTGAGAGAGATTGGGAAAATGTTTTAAAGGTTTTAATTTTTTAATGTTTTTTTTTTTAATAAAATGCAGGTACCCGCAGGCATTACTTGGCCCACCTGCATTTTTCACGGGAGGGTCGGGTACAAGTAAAATTTTCATGGGTAAATTTTAGGGGTACCCATAACATGATTCCAAATACAGTGTACAGAGAATGAACAGTTGCTTTAAACATAACTTAACAGATAATATTATTTAATGAACAGTTGCCTGTTTGCATTATGTCCATTTATATTCTTTCTTTGTAAAACACCATTCACTATTATTTATATGTATGTAAACATAACCAGTTCAACAACTCAAACATCCTCAAATCTCTATTCTCAATTCATTTGCATATCGTTAACGAATGGCAGACAGGAAACCAACAATTGTCAATCCAGAAGCCAAAAAAGCAAGAGCAAGCGGTAAATAACATTGAAAAATATCTCTTATATTTCCCCAACAATGTCTCTAATATTTCTCCTATACATCTACACTTACAAGTTTGTTTTCCATTCATACAGTTGAAACAACAATGTCAGATAAGCCTCTTGAACTGAAAAATATTTATTTAATGGTGATGTTGATTTAGGCAATTAATATCTTTAATTTTGTTTAAAGATATTAATCAATTGTGAGATGATTGGATTTTGATTGTCAGGGTTTCTAGATTGTGGGAATGTTTTAATTTCAGAAAGGACAACGAGCTAATTAGTCTTGATATGATTCTTATTGATGAAGAGGTATTATATATTTTTGTTAAATTATATAATTTTACTAACATTGAAATTGTGTAAGTTTGTTAACCTTTTTTATTTGTAATTATTTTATAGCATGATGTGATGCATGGGACTATACCAAAAAATAGAGTTGTAAAATTTAAGAACCAAATTCGTGAAGGCCAAATATATCTGATTAAAAATGTGAAGGTAATACCATGTGCTGCTACTTACAAGCCGATTGAAGGTGCTTATTGTTTAGAATTTCTCATGAATACTTCCATCGAGGAGATCAAGGAAGTAACAATTGCTATTCCAGAGTTTAAATTTCAATTTGCTGGTATCAATGATTTGCATAATAGAAAACATGACACATCTTTGTTATCAGGTAAAGCTTTTATTACTATTCATGTTGTACATCTATATTATCTACTGTAATTCTAAATACAGTAAATGGTTTGCAGATGTTATAGATATTTTGAATGGAGTAGGTGAGATCGAAAAAATCGTATCGACAAACAGTTATAAACGAGATATCATTTTGCAGATTGAACAGTAATTCTTTTCTGAATATCGTAATAATGTGGTACAATTTGATTATCTTACATCGATGTTATTTTCAGGGAGACATTTAGAGTTTCATTATGGGAAGAAATTTCAAAAAAAAATTGACGAGAGCTTGCTAATGAGAGATGACAAATCAATTGTCATAATTATCACATCAACAAACGTTAAAGAGTTTCAAGGTATTTTAGGCTTTTGATATTGGATAGAAATTTATGGTTTAATAATTCGTGATTTTAAATGTACAGGCAAGATATATCTTAATAGTACTTCGGGATCAAGAATCTATATAAATTTGGAAATTGACAAGGTCCATCTTTTGCAGAGAAAGTATGTGTTTGAGCAGCCTTTTCTGCAAATATTTTAAGAAATAATTATACAATTTATGTCTCATTTGCTGTACGATTTGCAGTAATGAAAATATTCCAGTTGTTAAATTGCAAAAGAGAAAGCTAAATGAGATATCGGTTGAGGAGGAGATGTTTCAAAATAGAGTATCTTTGAAATATCTTACCAGCCTTTTGTGGTATAACTGGGATCGGATTACAGAATATACAATAAAGGCAAAAATAGTTGGAGTCAATGGCAAATTTGGTTGGTGTTACTTATCTTGTAGTGTTTATAAGAAGAAAATTCCTGATATGAATAGCAACAATTTCTATTGTGTTAAATGCAACAAGGAGATAAAATTTCCACAAATGAGGTGAATCAGTTTTTTATTGAAAATTAAATAATTGTTATAAGACAATGCATTATAACATTAACATTTGATATTTATTAATGAATATTTTTTGTTATAACAGGTTTAAAGTTGATATTGTAGTCACAAATGGCACTGTTGAATCGGCTTTTATAATGTTTGATTTAGTATGCCAGAAATTGGTTGGATTGTCATGTTCCCAGTTATTGAAAACCCAAGAAAACAATCATAAAAGAATTCCAGATGTTGTAAATGCTTTTTGTGGAAAGACTTTTGTTTTCAAAATTAAGTTGTCAGAAACTGATTTGAAACAAGGATATGAGTCTTAGACTATATTAAAAAAATTTCCAGTCAATGATGAACTAGAAAATGATTACAAGCTAAAACAATTGGAAGAGGTCAGTATATTTTATTTTTTATTTTAAGTAACACATTTTTTAAAATTTAAATGATAGCAATAGTTGCTTGACATTAACATGCTATAATTAGTTCATACAAAAATCACGGGCAGTTCAAGAGGAAGATGGAAAGGATTCGTCAACAGCAGATGCGATTCAACATCAGGCTTTAACACCAAAAATTACTGACAAAACATCAACTACCGATCATCTGTCGAAGAACAAGAACAATGCAATCTTCTAATTCAGGTACCTCAAACATAAGAAAAGAAAAGGGTGAAGGAACAGAACACCAAGAGCCAGAATATAATGAACAGGTAGAAAATATTATTGATGAACCTTCAACTGTTGGTAAGAGATATCAAAGCTCTAGAAAGAAAAAATTGAGATTTTGAGAAAATTGTTGTTCTTTTCTTCTTTTTCTTGTGTTTTTAAATATTATCATGTAATATTTATTACTAACTAACACAAAGTAGATATTCGTATCTATTTTTAGCTACATGTTTTTTTGTATAATTCAAAATTTCAATTGTTAATGCAACATAAATATTTACAAACAGTTTCAAAAATACATAGCAATTAATAGGTTTTTCCTGCGAACTTTATATAAGTTAATGTTTCAAAGATTATTGACATCAGCAGAGATACTGTCTTCCATCATGGCTTCTTATAAAAAATCTGCACTGGCTTCTGGGAAACTCGATTTAAATGCTTCAGCACAAGCTATTCAGGTTTTGATAAACATGTCTGTCACAATATCAGCAACTTGATCTCTCTGCCTTTCTATTTTTGCAAGAGCAGATTGTAAGTCTGCGTTTTCATCCAGAAATTCTTTTTCTTGTTTCTTAAGGACATCAAGCTATTCCTCGGCTCTTGCACAAGATTTTCCAACGAATTTTACAATCTCCTAGTTGTCTTTTAATTCATTTACAGTTTCTTCGATTCTTTTTTGTAACTAAATTATGTCCCCAGTACACTTTTCCTTCTCAAGTTCTAGAATCCTCTGATTTCTTTCTAATCGTGCAATCACATTGGGTGAATCTAGCCATCGTTGCTTTATTTCTAAGAACCCTAAGAAACCTTGTCAACATAAATATTATATTGTAGTTAGAAGACAAGTAAATAATTAGAAACCTATAAATAAAAAATGACATAACCGACTCCAATCCATAACACTTTGAACTGTTAATATCATTATGCTTTCAACATCAACTTTCAGAAACTAAAAAGTCTAAGAAACCCAGTGAACAGAGAGATTATATGATGTGCACAAAACAAGTAAATAATCGAAAGCTTGTAAATAAAAATAGTAAAACAGACTCTATCCCTAAAAACACTTTGAACTATTAATATTTCAATTATATTGATTAAGTCTGATTATTTACAAACTGTTAATAAATATACTATAATACGGTATTAAATGTATATACTAAACAATATAATAACCAGGAGTTGCACTATAAAATGGACAACTATATTGACTAATTATAGCAATAACGGAATTAATTTCAAACAAAAATAACATAACAAACTGCACCCCATAAACACTTTGAATTGTTCATATTATAATGCTTTCAACTTCAACCTTTCAGTTACCATGAGTAACCATTCAAAATAATAATCTAATTGTATTGATTAAATCATGACATAACAAACTATTAAATGCATATTTTTGTGCTCACAATTTAACGGTAATAAATTTTGCTGTTTTTTAATTCAAACATGAGAGGAATACAAATGAATCTGCAATTCACTGAAGGTCAACTCAGGAAAATAAGGCAATTTTAGATTGACTTTCCAAAGTGAATTAGTTGGGTGGACAAGAAAGCAAGAAAGATAAGTATTACATTGCCTTGCATATGAATTCTAATTTCCTTTTTTCTTCATCAGGTGCAAAATATTGTTAAATATCATGAGGATGGCACTCCTGTCAAAATACTACTGAGAAAGCCGAGGATAGTTCAGTTGGAGAATATAGCTGGTAGAAACTTTTGGAGTGAGCATCCATGTCTTCTTAAGGAGCTGGGGTGTTTTGAAGAGAATGTTGTGAAAATTAAACCAGATTATGGATGGTAATTAGAATTGATGGCTGCCATTTTCACGGGTAAAGCTTCGTTGACAAAGCAATATCTCCTTCTTGACATATATATTGAGTTTCACTTACAAAAAGAAAAAAAATATATATATATAAGATGAGACTTTATGTTAATTTATTCATTGAGTATATTTTGAAAAATGAAGACAAATTGGATTATAAATTATGAAGTAAACATATTTTGAGTGTAGATTTACTCTTAAAATTCTAGAGAAGTCACCATGTAATAAATGTAAAATTTAAGTGCATAAAATCTGCTACTTATTCCTATCTCTGTGAATGATTACTATTGCATGTACCATTTTGGCCTCAAACTTGTAATACATGGTATTTTGTTGTTTGTTACCACCTAACATGCTCAAACAGTAGTCAAGACTTTTTATGGTTCTTGATAGATTCTCCGAAGTTCATGAATTTGAGAAGCCCAACGATGAGAAAGCTCTGAACCTTATGAATTCATGTGCAGTGACTGTTCTAGAAGAGTTTCAAGATATTACCTTTGCTTATTGGGTTAGTGATGAGCACAGGTATCTGATATGTTTTTATTATATTTTATGTTGGCTCTGCTTAATTCTTCTACCAACATTTAATCCCTTCATTGTTGTTATCAATTCCAGCTTTGTTTTGGAGAAGGAATCTCTCTTCTTTCCAAGGTGAGTAAGGTTTGCCCTGTCTTTCCTGTACAATTTTCTACAATTCTAACATTTTCGCGTTTGATTTATGACTATTTTTTGAAAAAGTTGTTTATGAATCTATATATCTTTTAATTAGACATTTGGATGTCCAATATGTGCTATTAATAGTAATAAATAGCAATTTACATATAAACAAAGTTTTTTTGAGACCCTTGCGATGCCACTATTTAATTGTTATTAATATTTAAATGAATATGAAATGACTAATATGAATCTACATATATTTTAATTAGACCTTTGGATGCCCAATATATGCTATTAATACTAATAAATAGTAATTTACATATAAACAAAGTTTTTTTCAGACCTTTGGGATGCCACTATTTAATTGTTATTAATATTTAGGTGAATGTGAAGGGACTAACATGAATCTATATATCCTTTAATTATACCTTTGGATGCCCAATATGTGTTATTAATACTAATAAATAGCAATTCTAGAGTTGCATTCATAATCTGATTATCAATTATGTTAGTATTCTGTATACACTCTTCATATTCAAAATTGTACCAAGTATTTTAATTTTAATTTCAATGCTAATGTTAATATTTACTTGATATATATGAATGTGAAGTGACATATTTATTACCATTCATGAATTTGAAGAGGCAGTTTGTATTAAAAGCATAATTCATTAAATTGAAACTATGTATATGTCTATTATGTAATGATTTTTTGTGCGGTTTATCAAATCTTCTAAAAAAATTATGTAAACAGTGTTTGATAGGAATTGCAAACATTTACAACAACAAAAGAAAAGAAAAAAAAAAAAAAGGAAGATTATCATGATCAACCAAAATTAAGCAGTACAGAAAACAAATTTCTTACAACTACCACAAGAAATACTACAGCAAATCATTGTCAGAGGAACTAAAACTAACAATAAAAATCTACAATCAATCCGCTTGACGTAAGTATTACTAACATCTACAATATCAATTATTATATATTGCTATACACAATTCATATATATCTTATCTATCCAATTGCAGATGTAAATTTCTATACATACAATCCAACGCAAAACAAGTGTTGCGTAAAAGAAACATCTTCAAACAAAGACACAAGCTACCGACAATTACAACAGAAGGACTTTCAATTTTACAAATCTTGGCAAACGCAAAAAATGAACATGCTTTATTACTGCTCGGAACACATTTAGTATTTATCAACCATGATATTTACACAGGTATACCTATGCTGGGTGCAGCCTGCAAAAGACAAAATATGCAAGCACTATATATTTTTGTAGTTGCTTTGCTAAAAATATATGATAACAATGGTATACAACTTCTTCTCAAATTGGTACAACAACCGGATTCTTTTCAAAGGATGAGGAATTGCCGAGAGACTTTCAAATCCATGACTCCAATAGCAAACATTCTCCTCAAGCGAAGGATATTAGGAACTTGCAATAAAGAAGATGAATGCGTTGTATGCTGGGACAGAATAACAAGGCCAAGTGATATCAGTTGCAAGAGATGCTCTGTAGATTATGAAATAGTACATCTTAAATACAATATGTAATAAAAATGAGACATATATATTCACTCTAGAGTAGTTCAATGATATGAGTGAAAATATTGTTTATACATGTTTTTCCCAGCACATATGTTATTGTATAGAATCACACATTACCAAACAATGTGTGTCATATTATTACGAACAATTGTCGAACAATGTTTTGTTCGCATTTTATACTATTTCTGTATAATTACATGTTCATCTGTGTTTTTCCTAACACATCTAAAACCAATATCAAAGGTTGGCCGTTTTAAAAGCCTCTTGACAAGCTAAATCATTCCATTCAATTACTTTCTCAAAACTATTCGTATTTATTTTGCCTTCTATAATCTTCTTGCATGGTATTGAGCCGACTTCCCAGCAGAATATTTTTTTCCATATAGGAAGACTTGGAGGTTGAAGATTTGAGTTTCTGTGACCTTTATTCGAATGATTGTTACTATTATTTACAACTGCCATGTTATTTGGAGAACTGAGTTATCTGTTTAGTGAAACGATTTCCAAACATACGCTATACATAAGAATACACAAATTATATTTCTATTGTAATTGTATCAAAAAAAAAAAAAAAATTATATGCAATAATAATAAAATAGTCTAAATAGATTTAAAATTA